AATATTGAGAAAAATGCTCTAAACTGATGGTTTGCTGTGCCTCAAAAATCATTATTATGGTATATGTTTCTGAATTTCAGAATAGTTTTTTTTCTTCTTTTCGGACTATGAAAATATTTTTGCCTTTCTGCTAAATGCATATTTAAATGGAGAAAACTTTAAAATAAGGTTCTTTCATTAATTAACTCATGTTGAAGAGAACTTCTTCTAGTATGATGTTCAGAAAATTTGTCAGTGGGATTTTTCATTGTGAGAAAACTAACTGTGACAACTTTTCAATTATAAAAAAGTACACGAAAATGTAATACATTTTATATTAGATAATAATATTCAGTTTTTGATAAGCGACATATGAAAAAATTCTTTTGAATAGAGAAAGCATTCAAATGTCTCATTTCTTATTGATATTATAGAGAAATATATTATCCACAGAAAACATTCTATTCTCTATTAATCAAGAAATGTCAACAGAATAGCAAAGACTATTTGATTTTTTTCTGTACAGCTTAACTTGCTCAGATTCAGCTATTAATAATTACTTTGTAATTTCATGGTTCTTTGTACGCAGAGATATCTGTTTTAAGACATTGTGTCATTTTTATATGCAAAACTACATACATACTATGAAATCAATATATAACAACTATCGAAATAATCTCAAAAACTCACAACTTCATTTTGATGATGCCGATTGAATGAAAGAAGTATACAGTTATAAAAACAGATTTACAATAGAGTATATACTTACACTATTAAACATACTGGAATCAGCACATAATATTTTATCAACTGTATTTATTTAATTTGTTTTAAATTATCTTTGCACGCTAAGAAGACATAAAAGATGATGACGATGAAAATTAAAGACTATACATTTTACATTTACTGATAGGCTTTTTCTATAGAAAAGAAATAAACACGATCTTAAATTTCCTTTTATTTTGAATATCGTAATAATTCTCTGTTCTTGAAGCGTCGTAGGACTTGGAATTCTTTGTATTTTTAGTACATTCAAATTGAAATAGATATACACTATTATTTAAACGTACAATCTAAATGGATAAACAGAACAACATACTCCATTTGTCTTTGACTTCTTCTCTCAACAGAATAGAACGAAATTAATTGATGCAGTAAGAGACGAAGTATATGAAATATTTTATTTCAATAAAACAAAGAGAAAATATCTACTAATATATGTGTATGTATGTGTAATATGTAGAATTTTCGTTATGAGTTACCTGTTATTGATGTTTTGAATTTGAATTATTTTGGTTATGATTTATTATGATTATGATGTATTTAAGTATTCTGATATGATACATTTAATTATTATCATATATTTTATACTTATCTTACAATGTTTTTAGGTTTATTATGATTGGAATTAACATCCAAAGTACTGATGATGATCTACCTGCCAGCTTGTGACCAACTGAAAACAGATCGAAAATTGTTACATATTACACATACATACACATATATTAGTAGATATTTTCTCTTTGTTTTATTGAAATAAAATATTTCATATACTTCGTCTCTTACTGCATCAATCAATTATTATTAATTCAATATTTTTTTGTTTTGTTTTGTTTTAAAATAATTTATCTTACAGTCATATGTTTACCAATCTTTTCTTTTTTTCACTTCTAAACATAGATTAATCATTTATTTATCAATAGAATATAACAAATTCTCTAGACAACCAATTATCGAATACTATTCACAAGTATCAATATTATTTTCTCATCATATACATTCGATAAATTGTCTTTCAATGAAAACCAACTCGTTTTTTTTTCCTCAACTATTAAAAGATCATCTGTAATTTTCACAAACTACAGACAAAATTCGATTTTTTTATTTAAAAATACTAAAAGTGTTGATGATGAGATTTTACAACTGCAAGACAAAGCTTTATAGGGAACACTTTTTTAAGTATAATTGTGCTCACTGTTTTCTCAATATGTCAAAAAAAAGAGAAAAAGAAATCACTTCCTTTTATTTTTGATTGATGCTGAAAGCTTGAAGGAAACGCATAAAGAACTAAATACTTTTAGATAGTTTTAAAAGATCTAATTCACTAAAAGAGCATATATCTATTTCATGTATTGACTATTTTGTATATTATTCACGAGTATTGAACACAGTTCAACTAAAGTGAGTTGAATCCGAATCTCAATTCATAAAATATTTGCAATTAGCAAAAGAAAATAATTCAAATTATAGATGTTTCTAAGTTATTCGACGAAACCTTTTTTAATAGAAAATTGACTCGATGTTGTATGTATCGTGCATTCAAAAGAATTTATTTTATGCAAACACTATTTTTATTGTTCAGTTTAATGTTATTTTGTCTTTCAGCAACGTTTTCAAACATCAAAACGTGTCTCTCACTCTTCTCATTTTTGTTTCAAATTAAATAAATTTTGTGATTCTGATTCAACTCATTTTAGTTGGACTGTGTTCAATACTCGTGAATAATATACAAAATAGTCAACATATGAAATAGATATATGCTCTTTTAGTGAATTAGATCTCTTAAAAATATCTAAAAACATTTAGTTCTTTATGCATTTCCTTCAAGCTTTCAGCATCAATCAAAAACAAACGGAAGTGATTTCTTTTCTCTTTTTTTTTGACATATTGAGAAAACAGTGAGCATAATTATAAAGAAATTACTATTGAAACAAATTTTTCTCATGTTCATATATGAAACTATATATATATACACCAATACTCGTCAACATTTCAATTGTCAAAACGAAAATATTTTCATAAAAATACGAAATTAATTTTGTTATGCAAGAATTTGTGATGAAAGTGAAGATGAATGAAAAACAATTATGGTTAAAAAATTGTTTTCTATGTATTTCTCTCGTTTCGATAGACAAACATTATACAGTAAATGTTCAATAAAACGCTGTGGGTGTGATTTTCGATCTTCTCTTCACCCACATCCACCCTTACAGAGTCTAGTTTTTGTTATAGTATAGCACATTGTCTCTATTTTAAGTTCGAAAAATATTAGATAAATTCATTGAATTATCGTTTGAGATTTTATTCGAAATACAATCTGAATAGGGAAGTTTTCACCCTTTCCGATGTTTGACAATCACTTTTTTTTTGTGACCCATCGTACAATCGTTTGCACAATCATATTTTCTTTCTCAAACATTATTAGAAGAACCAAATCGTACTCTACATAGCAATTACTTTTTATTGTAAGTTCTTTATATGTGAAGTTAAAAAGACTATTTTTTAGATTACTATTGAAAAATTTTTACTTGTGGAACGAGAAAAGAAAATTTTTTTCTTGTAACTTTTGATTGATTTCACTTTTATCATGTTGCATTAGAAATAGCGTAAGAATTTTCATTAGATCATATAGATATTTTGATAGATATTCTATGCTGATAAATTGTTTTAATCAATTTTTGTGTGTTTATATAAAAAGTATATTTAAATCATGAATAGAGTTCTTGACATGTTCATGGTTGAATATCAAAGCAAACAAGAAGAATATTTTTTGTTAACAAAGAAGATTTATAGGGTGTGGGTGTGGGTGTGGGGGTGGGGGTGTGGGTGTGTGTGTGGGTGTGTGTGTGGGTGTGGGTGTGGGTGTGGGTGTGTGTGTGGGTGTGGGTGTG